TCGTGCGTGGGTTCTTTAACGTCCCCTGCCTAACCAAATCCCCCCCCCAGATGCAGGAGACGCGACCTACGGTTTATTTGCCTTTATCCGAGAAGACTAGAATGTCTTTCCATTCCTTGATATCATAGAAAGGTAGCATATTCTCCTCAATTATTTTAAGACCTTGAGTGTTGGTCCGGCCGGGGACCGAACCCTCGATGTCCACCTCCAGCACATCACTACGGCGCTCTTACCAATTTAGCTAACCGAGAGGTTAGCTGGCATGTCAGAGGTTTATTTTCATTTACCCATGCAGCATTTTATGTGGCAACTAAACTACAAGGCGACAACTTTCCCTATTTTCCCCAATAAATCCGAAAATCCGAAAATCCAAAATCCGAAAATCCAAATCCGAAAATCCGACGAAAAAAAGGTAGCAAAACCGAAAGTCGCAGGTAAACCTGACAAAACCGCTACATTTTCGCCTTTAAAGGGGTCAAAAAGGAAAAACCAAAAACCGTATCAGAGGTTTCGAGAAAACCGAAAACCGAATGCAAAAACAGGTAAAATCCGCAACCCGCTCTGAACATCAAAGCCGAAAAGCCGAACCTTTTTGGCCCCAAAACCGAAAAACCGATCCAAAACACAGTCGAAACCGCAAAACCGAAAATCCCAAAGGCACCCCTCCTATAATTTACGAGTCAAACCAGCATTATAAATACGATGTAGCCCTTTCTCTGAAGAACAAGAATTAACTCAAAGCCTTCCGACTCAGTAGGTGAAAGAAGCAATCCGCCTGTAATAGTAACTGTCGAAAATGACAGCGACAATGACGAGGACGATGATTATAAAAATGATGATAATCAGACTTGTTCCAGACAGTACCTCTACCAGTCTATCGAAGTCTAGTTTTCAAAATTAAACTTTCAACTCCGTGTGTATGATAGGTTCTGAAGGCCCCATCGCGAGATACGCCGAAGGCTGTTCACCATTGCCCCCATCTCGTGCATATCACATGGCACTTAAAAGAGAATCATACTATTGCAGGTACCTTATGAAATTCATGAGATTGACATGTGATCCACAAGAAGGTTGACTATCTGAAAATAACTGCTCGGATTTGACAAGGCCTGTGCTCTCGTTTACAGTTGAACTATAAATAAACAATTCATGAAATTACTTTTTTGCTCTTGTGCATACAGACAGGGAGCCCTAGCTCGTGCACAGGGCCTTCTCAAATATATCACATTCACTGACGTAAGGCACCTGGCGAAATGATGGGATTTGTAAAAAGTATTATTAAGTACACAAAAAAACCCTTCTTGCTAGTGTACGGTTATATTCTTTCTTTGTGAGTTTTCTGAGTTGATTTTGAGGTCGTTCGGCGTGACTGTAGCTCGCAGGTCTACTCAAAAGGCAAAGCAGAACAACTTAAGACATTAGTTTGCTAAACAATAGCTAAACTTTGTTTAAATAATCAGACCATAAAGTTTGTGAGTTGTAAAAGTGAAAAAAATAAGCCTCACGGTGACTTACTTCAGATTTATTGAATAAATACTTGTTTACATTACTCGTGTAATGTAAAGTAATTAAAAAGAAACTCTAAAAATCAAAGCTTTGCTATTTCAAAGAAGCAGTACTTTGGCAGTATAACAACGATAATTTAAATCAACAATGAAATAAATCATTCAATGAAATAAATCATATTTTCACAATTCAAAATGTCATAATTCTCCAGCCTAAATTTACCTTTTTAAAAATTTTTTCGATTAATTTTTTAACTTTTTATTAAGAGTTTTAAAAAAAGATGTAAAAAATCACTTCAAAAAAACTGCTATCTCTCTTAATATCCTCCTTGATCTCCAAACAACAGTCTTATTATATCATTGTAAGGGTTGACCTTCCCTAAGACATGTGGAACTTTGGACTCAAGGATTCTCCACAAGGCATCAGCTGCCAGAGCTTCTGCTTTCAAATTTGGGTGAAAACCATCCACAGGCTCAATTAATTCATAAACTGGATGGCCCTTTGCTTTCCACTCCTGTTGCCAAAAAAGAAA